GGGGATGTCCTGGTCTACGATAACATTATTGCACAGCATGGACGTGAGCCATGGGAAGGCGAGCAGTCCGATCGGGTCATAATGGCGAGTTTATTCGATGGGGACCAAGTCCCTGGCGCGTACATTTCGGAGGACTGGGCTCAGGTTGTGCAGGCGCTTGAAGGGTAGTCTATATGTGTAGTTGACACAACCAACACACGTTCGGAGACTAAGAAAATACCTATTATAAATATCAAGTATCAATCATACCATGTCCTAGAAATACAGGATCCATGAAGCCGATCTGCACCAAATTCAATTCCTAGCATTAGATCCCTACATACAGGGGTACGTACCCAAATAGGGGTAACTAGGGGGTTTCTATGAAAAGGTGCTTAGGTGTAGTTGGGTTACTTGCCTACACGTACACCTTTACGAGAGCCTATGGGTCTCCTCTGGGCAATTTATATGTACCATATGTATATAATAATATTGTCACTGAAATCCTTGTCGTTAGTCACAGTTAGAATTTACCCGGTCCCTTTATCCGCGTCCCGACCCTTCGATGGGTGAGCCGCGTAACAATCGAGGACACATCGAATCTTTCGAAGCTTCAACCTAGAATCTTAGTACCAACGAGCCATTGAGTCAAAGGTGAAACGAAAATACGGGACACAATTTTAAGATGTGTTCCCTTCTAGACGTTCGTGCGTGATGTCACCTTACCGCAGAATTTTCGCAGCAATATGCGTCGTCGCTCCTCTTATTTACATTTACTGGTGGAGGTTCACGACTCCCGATACGCTAGGAGGCTTTAGGGGATTATCTGCTAGAGAAGATGTATTTAATAAGACACTAGGCGTAGGACCCCCTTTTCATCACCTCCTTTTTCATTTTGGTGTAACTACAACCTGACTCCATCCAAAGTTCTCCAAGATATTCGTTATAAATTTACCATCCCGGACGGATCGCCGAGATGCGATGGCTCTAGCAGGTGCAGCCAGCAACCTCACTTTTACCTGGATTGATGGAGTGTCAGGAGGTCAAGTGCCAGACAGGGTCGTTTCTCTTGGCACAGAAGGACGGTCTTCTGGGGCCAAGGGATCCTGGAGATCCCATATGAATGCGCTACAAGCTGTTGTAAGAGACAACCTACAAAGCGCGCTCATCATGGAGGACGATATCGACTGGGATATACGTATAAAATCACAGCTTCAGGCTTTCGCATCGGCTTCGAGAATTTGGTTGAGACAGTTGAAGTCTGATAAGCACCAAAATGAGTTGCTCGACCTCGTCCCGCCCTCACTGATTAGGAAGAGAAACGCCGCAGCCGCAGTGTTTTGGGATTCTGAAAAGAATACCATACAATTAAATTCCGTGACGGGTTTTGATAGCAAAGCCCATCAGATCGTGTATGGGGATGATTGGGATGTCCTGTGGCTCGGCCATTGCGGCGCTGATTTCCCTTCAGAACGATCTTCGATTTCACCCCTAAGAGTCGCGATCCAAGATGATGTGACGGTCCCCGCTCCGAAACACCTTAAACCTCATCCATTTGCTCTTCAGGACAAGCTTGGCGAAGTATATCCGCCGCACACCCGCGTTGTCCATGCGTCGAGCGGGAACGTCTGTAGTCTAGCTTACGCTGTTAGTCATCAGGGAGCTCGCAAGCTACTCTCGGAATTCGATGCACACTATGACACGCAGTGGGACTTGATGCTCCAGAAATGGTGCGAAGGGAAATATGCTTCTAAAAATACACTTCGTCCGAATTTCGAGGAGAAAAGCGATAGGAAGCTTCGAGAGACCTCACCAGTGTGCCTCACAGTACAGCCACCCCTATTCAGTCACTATTACGCTAAGGGTGGTAGCTCCAACATTCAAGGCCAAGGTGGCGGGTATGCGAAGGGTACGGGATCGCCATACATAAGACTGAGTGTGCGAGAGAACTTGAAGCGCTTAATTGCTGGAGCTCTGGAAAGTGAGATGGTAGACCAACTTCCTGATGATGGGAAGACCATATGGAAATAGATCAGAGTTTTAGGTCACCATAGTGAGGGAGAGTTTGGCTGTGTATACTTTTATATTAAAATTAGGAAAAAGTGTGAAACGAATAAAAATCAAGGATTTTACGCATAGGGATCATATTTGGTCAAGGATCAGAAGTTTAGCGCAGCTTGAATGTTCAAGTCCATACATTCGGTTCAGTATGGATGAAATAGGGGGTAGGCAGTAACGTATGAAGGGAGTAGCCTAGGCCAGAACCACTTCAAGAGTATCAAGTCAATCCACGGGATCTCACTGCATCTCACATGGCACGGTCTCAGTAAAATTAAAATAAATAGCCCTTAATTAGTACCAGATACGGGTCATAGTAGTGGAATAATTGTTGAATGTTCTCAACCGCTATTCGCTGGTACAGATAAGTAGAACGCGTTCGCCTGCAGGTGGAAGCACCAGGTACAACACATACACATTGCCCATAGACGTGCGCATCACCGTAACGTACAGAAATGTAAAATGTAAAATTACTAGAAAAAAAAAAGAACATGGAAGGACAAAAAATTGGACTTGCAGGGAATCGAACCCTGGACCTCTCGCATGCTTCCATGGAGATGCTAAGCGAACGCTCTACCAACTGAGCTACAAGCCCGGTGATGATGTATTGTGACTGTTAGAAGTGTCAAACGCAATTATGAGGCAACTGCGTTGCATGGTAGGAAAAGGGAAGGCATCTCAGAAGGAAGGAGCGCAGGGCAAGTGGTACGTGCATGGTGTGCAGACCCTTACCCATCTTCAGGTGGATGGACTTCTACACCTTACCACGATGAATATATATGGGATAAGCTCTATCTAGTACGACTAGAACATCATTCCTCATCGACCACTCTTGATCCCCGAGTCATGTGATTATTTATTCCTACCAATTGTGTATTCTTCTTCCGTCATTAGGTGTCTCAAAGAGTCATCAAGTGCCTCGATGATGCCTCCTGATAACACAAGCATCAATGTGACGCTCTAGGTCAATAAAAAACATAGGTTAATAAATTTGATAGCTTACTAGAACACTTACTATACAATGATATACGCCTAGCTACTCCTTCGAAGGCAAACCTCCTCCGATCTCTCTCATCTTCGACAGCGCTTCCTCCGTGTGGGCATCTAGATCGATGCTGAGAAGCTCTCAGCGTTCGCCAAGCACACTTCTTAACTCATCAAGCTTCATGGCAACCTCCTTGTTCTGGCCAGTGAATATCTCCCCTGTTGCCCTGCTTGAGTCGCTGACTCTCTGGCACCTCGGTCGCTTTACCGTGTCATATGCCTTAAACATCGTACCTGTCTCGTCCGCATTAGAGATATTCGCAAGAAACGTCCCGAGAATAACAGCGTCTTCGAAAGCCCGTCCCGCACCCGCACCGTGCCATGGGGTTGTCGCATAAGCCGCATTGCCTATGATGCACACGCGGCCATTGGCATAAGTTGGCGGCGCTCTATGCTCGTACTGTGAATAGCCCTGCGGGTCTGGTTGGTCGAGCAACAGCTTCATGCGAGAAGTTCGCTGTAACTAAGAATCTATGGTTTGAAAGAGAGGACAATGGCTTACTTCGATGATACCCTTCACAATAGACCCCCCAGGCCAAGACTGAAATGCATCGGCCAAAAACTCGCGCGTGAGGGGGCGCTTTCGGTCGGTAGGCGGGTTCTTTTCGATGCCTGATATAATGTCTTGAACCATCGATCCATTTTCTAGTACGTGTTGGAGAACAAAGACCCCGTCGCCAGCCCAGAGGCATTGCCTCGGGACGTCGAAGGACCGCTCTCCGAGAGCAGCCCTGGCCTTAGCAATGAGGACTACAATTCTGCTCTATCAAACTTGTTTTTCACTCAGTCTATGCCGAGGAACATGCAGCGGGTGGGTTATGTGCCATTCAACGTTCAACCCACCCATCCTCCTGGTGAGGGCAGCACACCCCTCTGCTACGTCTTGCAAAACATATTTATTTTCAGGCTGAGCCGAATCTCCCGTCCGCACCTATAACAGCGTCGAACCGGGACGTTGTGCCATGTTGAAAAGCAAGTTCGATGCCATGATGGGTTTCGGTGATCTCAGTAAGCTTCTTGTTTGAATGTAGACGCGCCCCAGGCAACGGCGCCAAGAGCTCCCGCAGAACTGATGCGCGATGAACAATCAATTCTTTATCATCGGCCGGTCGCTCGACATCAACGTCGACTACCAGAGAACCTGCGTCAGGTCCCGAACCCTTTACCAGGATGAGCCTATCCCATGTCAAGATCAGGGCGCGTCACGTTACGAACCAGTATTATCCGAGTTGAATTGATGGGGACTGCATCCGCTTGGGCGAGTGTCTCGCGCGCTGCGGGCAGGATATGCTGTAAAGCTATGCGGGCGTCGTCGGAAAGTCCAACAGCCGCGCCACGTCCTGAAAACTCCGGTAGCCGCTCTACCAACCCCGAGAAGGGCGTTTGCCAGTGTTGCACTGGCAAAGCCACCGCCAACGATCGCTACGCGGGTAGGTAAGGTGCTGCAGCCATCCTAAATTTACAGAAGATGAGGCAAATAGCATGTAGTGAGAGCATGTCCTCATGAAACAGATAGCCTGAAAAGTTAAAGGACAGCTGCTGTTATGGGAGAATCAACTTGCCGATACAAGATACCGATGCAATGGGCCGTCCTGCGAGGGGATATAAGAACTACATACTCATAAATGCTAGTTGTCTAAAGGTTCTACCCGACAATATGTAACTCGAGAGTATATTTGATAGCATTCAGGTTTACTCGATGCCAGAAGGTGAGGTTACTTCATAAAAGCAGTCTGTGATGGTATTCTCTACGCTGTAAGATGGTGGTTGAAGCATTCGGAGCGGCCATTCGTAGCATAATTCAAGTAGACGAGATAGATTTTTAATGTTTGACGTAGAAATAGCGAAATCGCGTCCGAATTGAGGGAAGGAAAAAAAGAAAAATATTAGCACGGTCAAGCGCTAAATTTTAGTGAGACTGCCCACTACTGGAATCGAACCAGTGACCTCATCATCACTAACATATACTAGTGATGCGCTCTACCACTGAGCTAAGAGGGCGTTATTTGGAATGGAAATCACAACGGCACCATCCTACAACATGGTTCAATTGCCATTTCAGATACCTTATAATAGTAAGGGCTAAATCACGTGGTTTATATTACACTTGACCGAATCGCAAGGTCCGAAAGCGTATCAACCAAAAGCAAAAAGACAATTCTAACCCACCATTGTGTTCCATGATTCTTAAACAGGATGAAGACAAGAAGCTGAGCGACGTGTATCTGGAGTTTAAGGACCGATGCAACAGTCGGAAGAGGTATCAAGATCGCAGTGTAGAGCGCTCTATATATCTCTAGTCTATGTCTACATCCAGCTGCGCCAGGAGGAATTCTACTCATTTATGTGTCTCGGCGGCGTCTCCCCAAAGCTTACCTCATGATTTCGTCTCTATTGATGTTAACACGCAGGACCCTATGGTCTAGAACCACCGCTCACCCGAGACAGATACTACGACAGAGGCGATACTCTCCGTTCTACCAACTACGTCTCTGTGTTGATGAAAATGGCAGAGAATACTTTCGGGAGGAGGGGTGGGGGTGGTGCCGAAGGTTACCTACTCTTATCGGCCAATACTTGCGTCCCTTCCTCGAGGTTTTTGAGGATCGAGGAATGGGATTGTACGGGATTGATATCTCGTATAAGGCATGGCCGTCTGTACATGGGAAAGGCGATGTCGACCTGCAACCAGACTCAGATCAATCGCTTTTCTCCCAAGGGAGCCTCTAAGGAAGAGCAAGAGGCATTATCGCCAGCTTTATGGGAGAGGATCTAACTCGTACGAAGCCTATCAAAGAGAAAGTGCGCGTCTTCGACGAATACAAAGCTAAGTCGGATTTTAATAGAAATACGGAGTCTAACTATGAGTAGAGCATACTGGAAGCACTACCCGCGTCACATCAGTCTTCATCTACACTAATAACTTCAGGCCCCGCCTTCCTGGATCTCCCACGAGAAACAGCTGTGTCCAACCGACACCGCAGGTGTACCTAGTACGACCAGACATATTTTGCCATGTATCTCCACGCTAGTCGCTTCTAAACGACCAACTACATTCCCAACGACTTCCTAAGCTCCTCCGTCTACGTCTCGGCCTTAGAGTGGCGCTCCTGGGATTTCTAGACAACCGATTCCTGAGCTCTGGCCGGTTCCTCGAGCTCGTGTGTGCGGGGCATCCCACGCGCTTCCCTTGCGGCAGATGCAGCGTCCATCATCATCTGTCGCTCCACCGCGCTCACCCAGTCCTTCAGCCTTTGCAACTGGGTTTTTATGTCCTCGAGCTTCTTTTTGAGCTCCTCTCGCTCCTTTATCACGTCTTCGAGCTCCATGATTTGAGCGTCTGTAGTGTGTTCCGCCATGGCGTGGGTAGGTCGAGACAGCCTTGTCAAGATGGTAATCTGACGGTAGTAAGATTCTGATGGCGTGGCGTAAATGCTAGTCTTAAGTGTTCTTGATAATGTAGCTACGATATTGTGGTTGACAGCATACTCGTTGCTTGTTGTTCGACCGATCTTATATGTTCTGTTAGGCTTTCTTTGACGATGAATCATGGGCGCAGAACTTCGCGTTACCTATCCAGCGCTATATCGTGAGGGTAAAGTTTGATAGCAAGTTTGCTCATGTTAGGCAATATTGCACAGCTCTAGAATAAGCAAAAAATGCTTGAGGGTACACGCATTGGTGGACGCTGAATTAGATGCCAATGTAAAACAGCTATCACGCAAGAACAGATGCTGTTTTCTTGAGGGCCAAGAGGGTACCTATAATTTATCGTTCCACCCCCAATGCAAGTTACTTCACCTAATTTTTACCCTTAATACTGGAAGTTCTTAGAGAGACGGATCGATCCGGTTCCATAAGGGGTTTGCATGCCGGCGTCAGTGCCAAGCCAATCCCGGACTTCTCATATTGTACACCATGGACTGGCTATCTGTGTGTCACTCTGACTCGAAGCTGATTGTCAAACAAGAGCAGCAGGACTTCTAACTAGGTACTCTAATATAAGTTATACATTGGTAAGGAAACAAATACCCGTTGAGCTTGACAAGAGCATTAAGGTGTTCCAATTAATATTACATATCCAGCTCACCAAAGTAATCTAAAATGCAAGCGACCATAAATCATTTATCATTACCAGTCACGGCACACTGAATTACAGATTGAAAACACGTCAAGCTCTAACACTTTTGACTTGGCCATGGTGAGAAACATATATATTCCGTGATTCATGTCGATGTCTATTTATCTCGTAGCTTCCAGTAAGCCATGATAAGACGAAACCCATTCTATCATGCCATTCTACCGCCTGTCTACATTAACGCCTATATTGAACCATCTATGCATAATTGACTAAAATGTCAATCTTCCCAAGCATCCTCGATTCTATCGATAGCCCGATCTGGGGGCTGACACGCCCAAAAAGTGAAAGCCGCCAACCGCTACACAGGAAACGCGTATCAAATCGTTTTAAGGACCGCTCGAAAGAAAATGAACTAATTTTTACTCCTCGTCGTCCGTATCTGGCGGGTGGGGAGTGCCCTTGGGACTGTTGAGCCATTCGATATGGCGAAGCCTTCTTCGGACCTCCTGCTCTTTCAATTCCTTCTTGGTCTTCTTCCTCTTCTTCTTGGCCTTGAATTTGAGAGGCGTATTATCTTCAACTCCACTGTTGACAGCACTGCTCACGGCACTGCTGGCCGCCGTGCTGTTAACGCCACTGGTGATGCCGCTTGTGAGGCCGCTACCTGGCCTGCTATCCTCGAAGCGATCCAGGGCAATTGCAGCATTGCCCTTCAAGACCATCCGCCCGTCGTTTATGTGCCACTGCTCGTTGGCGAGGGCCCCGACGAACTCTTCGTTGTGAGAAATCATGACAACACCACCCTTGAAATCACGGATTGCAACTGCGAGACCACCGAGAGAGTCACGGTCCAAGAAGTTAGTAGGCTCGTCGAGCACAAGCAAATGTGGGTTGTTCCACATCGCACCCGCAATAACGACCTTCACTTTCTGTCCTCCTGACAAACTGCCAATTTCGTTGTGGTTGGCGATCTCGGGGTCGAGACCAAGATCCTCGAAGTGCTTGGAGATGACTGTGGGCTGAAGCTCTCGGTAGCCAAGACCTTCACGGGACGCCTCGTGATCATCGAATTCCTGTACAAGCTTGTCGAAGCCCCATTCAATGAGGGTCTCCCGGGACACTTGCGAGTTGTACTTTGGCAGCCAAGCTCTCCATTTCCTACAATTCGTTAGCAATAATATTTTCAAAGAGAATCTCAAAGGTTAACTTACACTTCGTATTGGAATGTTTTCTTGTACTTTTGCCGGCCGACAAGAGCCTCAATTTGTCGCTCCCCCTTTCCATCGCCAAGATCAATTCGCTTGTCCATTTGTTCTCGGTCTTTGTCTGAGAGAATACGAGTCTGCTTTAGGAAGACTTCTCTGTCGTCTCCGTTGGCATATCGCCACTGCAAGTACTGATTCGGCGTCTTCTCGAGGTGCATTTCCACGTGTTCAAGAGCATGCTGTTTGATGTAACCGATCCGCAGATTGGGATGCTTCTCGACTTTTCCGCTAGTCGGAATTACTTCACCTGTCAACAGCTTGATCAAAGTCGACTTTCCAGCACCATTTGGACCAATTACTGCAACACGGGAGGAAAGAGACAGCTGGCACGAAACGTCGCTGAGCGATGGTTTGGGCGCCTTAGGATATTGGTAGGAGACTCCAGTCATCCGAATGATAGCTCGCGTTTGAGATTTGACACCAGTCAAAATACCGGGAGGCGGGAACTTGAACTGGACGTTTGAGGCGGAAAGAGTGTAATAAGCCTTTGCTTCGGGACGAACCTTAACGAACTCTGAGAGGTTACCCTTGAAATGGCCTAACTTCTTTCCGGGCTCGTAGTGGTAAATATCAGTCGTCACGTTATCCAAGAAGCTCGAGTCGTGAGAAACGATCAAGCTTGTGATATCGGTGTGGGTTTTCAGGTAGTTCTCGAGCCATGCAATATTGGCAACATCCAAGTGATTGGTCGGTTCGTCGAGCAGTAGAACATCAGCTTTCTGAAGCATAGCTCGGGCAAGAGCGAGCTTCATCTTCCATCCTCCAGATAGAGAGCCAACCTTTTGAGCTTGTCTGCCCTCAGGACCTGCTGTAAACCCGAACTCGGCCAAGACCTCAGAGATTCGTTCTCTGCCTTCGGATGCAATCGTTGGGTCCTTGGCCATGAATTCCAGGATGCTGATATCGGCATCCTCTCCTTGGTTATGTTCAACGTAACAGGTTCGAAGCACATCTTGCGGTGGGAAACCTTCCAACTTGCCACCAGCGATACTCTTCATTAGAGTGGACTTGCCGGCACCGTTGCGACCACAAAGACCATAGCGGTGTCCCTTCAATAGCCTAAGGTTGGTATGAGAGAGAAGAAGCATACCACCGTAGGCCAATGAGAAGTCTGCATTAACGATCTCAATCTCGCCATCATCCTCCTTCTCCGGCACACCGTACTTGCGGTGATCCTCGGCAACGTAGAATTCGTGAACTGCGGAAGCGACGGCATCATTGGCACCAGGTTGATGCATTAAGTCCTTTAGGTAAGGCGCAATCCTAGCAGGAATGCGATCGATTTGGCGGTGGTTGGCATCTTCGGCTACCATCTCACAGATGTAAGGTCGAGCAATTTTATAAAACTCCAAATCACCTGCGAGTCCTCCGTTCTTCTTAATCTCGGAATCAAGGACCTTTGCGACATCATCTGCAGAAGTTCTCTCCACAACCGCTTTATCATTACCCATAGCCTTGTCCATAACATCGAGAGCCCTGGTAGCTAGCTCACGGACCTCCGGTAGCGGTGCACGATTAACGACATTCTTGATACCCGGTTGGAGCTTCGGCAAAAACGTGCGCGCCTCAATAGGATCATGGACTAGCTTCGTCAAGTTCTCAGTAATTACGACCGTCTGTCGCAGGACCTCCTGAGCGGTGGAGGGATTGTTGAG